GGAGGGATCTTTCTCAAATTTTAAATGTAGGTTCCCCTTGATCCCTCGTTGTGTATGTTATATTTTGAGACTGATCATAAAAACAAAATGGATTAAAAGAAGAACTAAACAGATCTTTCTCATATTGCAATGATCGATTCTATTTCTTTCACATTAAGTACTGTACTAGTAAATATGTGAAATGACAAACTCACTTTGAAGGTTGGCTTTCATACACATCAGTATTAAGTTTAGATCAAAAGTTACCTCAAGGTGCATTTACTGTTGACATGACTCGATCAAACAGATTAGAGGAAAGAAGAGAAAAGATCGAATTGACAAAGAACTAATGAAGATGGTACAAAGGTGGGCGCCAAGATCCCTCTGGGATCTCTTGTAAATTTGTGGTATTTTAAAGTGAATTTGTGATGTTATGAAGTGAATTTGTGTTATTATGAAGTGTGTTTATGATATTAAAATTCATTTTCTGATAAATTGGATTTCATATCATGAATTCAATATATTTTAAAATTCTATTGTTCTCAGCATTTTCTCCCCATAAGGAGATAGGTATTTGATAGGTCAAAAATAACATGTGATGCAAACATTTATATGTTACAATATGTTATCTATCAAAAAGTGATACTTCAAAAGCAATAAAGTATTTTTATTCTTGCAAGAAATTATCACTTGAACATCCAATTGCAACTTGATACTGCATTGTTTATACATTGTAGTGAGTTTAATTTTTGCAGCGAGGATTCGTTTGTATTTCAGTATATACTTGATCAACTTACCAAAACGATATGTTTAATTAAGTTATAAGGATTGTTTGATATCATTTTGTTAGAACTTATTTCTTTAAAGGCAGTTTTTAATATTCACTCAATATTTTAGTCCCTTCAACGAATGCCAAAATTTTACATCGCTTGGTCGTGTTCATTGAAGAAAACAATTGGACTGCTGCAGAATGGTCATGTTTTGGAATAATGATGAAAAATGAATATTTTGATTATGAATAAAGTAAAACAGTATTTTAACCTATAGAAATATCAATGAAGACAATCTTTCAATTTCAAATAACACCATAAAATCATATGTTCATTGTTTGATTAAATACCAGTTTGCAAATGGTTCAAAATATTTTCCCTTGCTGAACACAATTCTGATATATACCAATGTACAATGTATATCAATTTAATATCTTGCATTTAAAGGACTTGACTGTTAGTCGAGTTAGGCGCATTCTTTTTTTTATGTTTTCTAACATACAGTTCATATATTCAATATTTATAAAAATTTATGTATATTTACCAAAACTAGTCATAATTAACCATGAATAGTGTTAAAAGATAAATGTGCTTCCATTTTTTTGCCAAATATTATACTCTGTAAAACATATAATAGGTTAACGTCATCATTAAAATAAAAAAAAATGCAATGTATTTATCAAATTGCATTTGACATACATGTAATAACATTCCTGTTTTGGATCAACACATTTATACAATTATTATCCTTGACATTTATTATAGCAAATATTACCTATAATATTGTATCAGCTGTAATATAAGCTACTTTAACGAATGTACGTTTCCTTCCGTCCATATCTGCGGGTTCAACATTAAGAATCTGACACACCATAGAACATGTCTGCAGACATAAACATTCATATATAACATAAGTTTGTGGCCCGAACATAGTCATATTGAAATGCATCTACTATAACAGAGTTATCGCCCTTTGTTTATATTTTTATATTGAAGATTTTCTGTAGTTGGAGGACTGTGAACAGCTTGTAACACTTTGCCATGTTTAGAAATACTATGCAAGACAATAACTATTTTCTAAGTTATCGGGTAATTTCATGACTGTGATTTACCTGGTAAGGGGAGCTTAACTCATTCACCCCTGAAGACACATTTGAACTCTTCCAAATCAAGGATTGGAATAGTTCATTATGGCATTTCAGTGGTCAATGAGTTAACATATGACATGATGCAGTGGAGTTGGAATCAAGTACACACACCATCTCAAAACTGTAATGTCAACAATGTGCAGAAATCTCAAATCAAAATATTTGAACCTCGTCACAAAAATGAAACAGCATGAAATTAGTTCTATACATACAATTATTGTGTATTAAGAAGGATCATGTTTTGTATGCTCTTAAAACAGAATATTATATACAACAATACGTACAGAAAATACTGTATGCTAAATTAAAACTGTTTTTAGCTGGAGAAGATTGTTGATAACCTTTTAATGACCTAACTGGATTTTATTTGATCTTCAGTGGCCCAGATAATATCTCTTTGCATGCATTTTCCGAATCACAATTGGATGGAGTGAAAATGAAATTAACCATGGGTGCTAGAATATGAACCAGGGTTCTTTTAGGAAAGGTTTAATAACGTTCATTGTGGAAAGTAAATCAAAACTTTTGATGATCTGATTCAAATGTTTTTGTTTGGTGAGGGAAGGAGTTGATTCAGTAAGATCAGGATTTGAACTTACCTGAATATATCCGGTGTGATAGATTGACTTAAAATATTTGTTGATTTAAATATTTTGTAAGGAATAAATGCTGTTTGTTTATTAATTACCGAGTTGTTTATGTTTTGAAATAGTGATTTTGATTCTTCCTTAAACGAAATAAAAATTATGATTTTATTCTAGTCTTGCCTAGAGCGCAATTCATTGCAATCGCGCTTACCACCAGCAAATACAAAGGCCACTTTTCCTAACAGTTCCTTTATATGTCTCTCTTGATTATATCAATTACAATGTCATATTTTGCTGAACAAATGGTAACAGATTAGCAAGGTTAATTGTACAAATAGTGGTTGCTTTTCTATCTCCATGTCATGTAAGTTTTGAATTCTTCATCACTGAAACGCTCATTTAAATTGACACTGTATCAAAAACTTTATATTCTTTCAAAGTGACAAAATAAGCATATACATGTATAGAGCAGACTACTAACATGACAGCCTATGTGTTTTAATTTTGGTAGTTGAAATTGGGACTATGAAGACTTAAAAGGGGCACCTCCAATACATGTATATGGATAAAATCCATATGGGCCAGTGATGCAAGGCTTCCATGTTTTCTCAACCAAAATATTTCATTTCCGGTAGATTCTATTGTGATGAAATTTCATTAGATCCAGTGTAGAATTCTTCTATAAACACGAAAAGAATGTGCAAAAGATATGAGAGATAGCCAACCATCTATTATCCAGTTGAGAATGAAATAGTGAGATAGTGACTGATAATTTCAGGTAGGACGTAAGAATTGTACCAGCTGCCCCAATTGCATGATCGTAAGAGGCGACTCAATTTGGGATCTTATCTTTTCTCTTCTTTCTAAACAACTTTCTTCTTCCTAATGCCTCCCTTGACAATACCTCACTTTTGGCCTTTAGTTGAGTTTTTCATCCCTGTGAGGAAGGCTTTGGGTTCTGTCCTCTGGCCGAGACATACCAGATTCTGTAAACATATTAGTTACTACTCCTGCTTCACGCTCGGCAATTTAGGAGTGGGACGACTGGTTCGCCCGTTGTCAGTATAATGTGACCGGGTGGGGTGTCCGGCTGGGTGTCTTCGGCAGTATGTTTCAGTGAGGTAGCACTATCACAAGGAGACAAACACGAACATACCTCAGCCTCCCAAAACACATACACTACACCCATGCATATTGCACACTTGGGAGGCCGTCCTTAAATGACCATAGCTGTTGTTAGGACGTTAAACAATACTAAACCAAACCAAACCGATAATTTCACTCGTGCTGAACTGAAGGTATTACCTCAAAACATTACAAAAATAGAAAACTAATCCTTATGCTTAGTATTTTTAGGTCACCTGAGCTTTAGCTCAAGTGACCTATTGCTATCCGTTTTCGTCCGTCGTCGTCCGTCGTCCGTCGTCCGTTAACATTTTACATTTCAAACTTAAAGTCAAGTTCTGCTGGGCCGATTGAACTGAAAGTTGGTAGGAATGATCGCCTCATGGTCCTGACAAAGTGTTGTTATTTTTCGGGTCGATCAGAAATCCAATATGGCCGCCACGGCCGCCATTTTGAAAACCTATTTCAAACTTAAAGTCAAGTTCTGCTGGACCGATTGAACTGAAAGTTGGTAGGAATGATCGCCTCATGGTCCTGACAAAGTGTTGTTATTTTTCGGGTCGATCAGAAATCCAATATGGCCGCCACGGCCGCCATTTTGAAAACCTATTTCAAACTTAAAGTCAAGTTCTGCTGGACCGATTGAACTGAAAGTTGGTAGGAATGATCGCCTCATGGTCCTGACAAAGTGTTGTTATTTTTCGGGTCGATCAGAAATCCAATATGGCCGCCACGGCCGCCATTTTGAAAACCTATTTCAAACTTAAAGTCAAGTTCTGCTGGACCGATTGAACTGAAAGTTGGTAGGAATGATCGCCTCATGGTCCTGACAAAGTGTTGTTATTTTTCGGGTCGATCAGAAATCCAATATGGCCGCCACGGCCGCCATTTTGAAAACCTATTTCAAACTTAAAGTCAAGTTCTGCTGGACCGATTGAACTGAAAGTTGGTAGGAATGATCGCCTCATGGTCCTGACAAAGTGTTGTTATTTTTCGGGTCAATCAGAAATACAATTTGGCTGCCATGGCCGCTATTTTGCTACTAAGTTCTAATAGGCCGATCTCACTTAAAATTGGTCTAGGAATGATCAGCTCATGGTCCTGACAAAGTTAAGTTAACATTATACTATTTTTTACTCAAATTGGTACATATTTCAACAACAAAAATAAATACTGTAGACTCAGGTGACCGTTAAGGCCCATGGGCCTCTTGTTCTGTGAATGCATCAGACAGAAAATTTCCATTTTTGAAACACATTAGCAGGTAATTGTTCAGTAAAAGTAGTAGCTCAGCCTTGCTTAACACTGCCCACATCAACTATTGATGACATCACATGATTGTGTCTTGTTCGTGGAAAATTTGCATAGCTCTGCCCATTTGTATTGCTGTCAAAGTTAGGTAAACTTGTCACTTTCTATGGTAAGGTTTTGAGATGAGAACTTCAGTATGCTGAAACAATGGTTATTGAGTAAACCGTAAAACGTCAGTGTAAACTTTAAATATTATGCCTCATTTATAGTGTTTGTGGAGGTCAACTCATTCACCCCTGAAGACATATTTGAACTCTTCCAATTCAAGGGTTGGAATAGCTCATGAAATTTCAGGGGTGAATGAGATAATCGAAGTTGTATCCCATATAAAAAACAAAAACTGTTCTTTGGGAGAAAATATTATTTATTCATTGAAATAATTAAAACAATTCATTGGATTGATTCATAGCGTAAAAGGCACAACTGTATTATAAAGTATAGTACAAAAATAACTAATATGTCATAAAAATAGGTATTATAAATATCTTGATTACACACAGTCATTTAGAAACAAACCATTAGTTTGAACTAACATGGACGGCACAATAAACTGGTAATGTCATAGCTGCCCTCTAACGGCGATCACATTTACATATCGGCTATATAAAGTATCAAATTATGTCTGGAGACTAATATTATATATACCTAGTAAATAGTAATTGCATATATATTTGACCCTTTTAGTACTGTACACTAAGAACATTTTGCTGGTTTAATCCCCCCTCTATAATGAGGGAGGGTTAACTACTTATCATTACAATGTACATTTGTAAACAACATACCATACATAGTAATTAAATGTGAAGGGTAAATTGATTTTACTGTCGAAAGGTAGAAATGTAACTGGGCAAAACATTTTTTGGTATACAGTAGCTACATGTTATAAGGTACATCACCTACTTTATAGCAAAATATGTGAACTTTTTTGCAGCTATGTTTACTTGCCTTACAAAATATCAATGACCAACAGTAACAAGAAACAACTTTGACAGATACATAAAATATAGAAGTGATTTTGTTACTTTCTAAAACAGATAATTACTGGGTTGGTAGAAGTAGCCTTGCACAGGCAAAAGACAAACTTTTGTTTGCGTTAATACATAAACAGTAGTCAGGAATTTGTCAGACTTAAGAACCATAGTAGAGACTTGCACCTGTAAGAAATTGCACATACCGTAGCCAATTTTCTTTACACAGATAAACATGACCTTTAACCGTAAGTTTGGTTTTGCATAGATCAATGACCTATAGTAATGACTTTGCCTTGCATAGGTCGATGTAAGGTTCCTGGAGAGGGTACAGTGGCAGGTTTCCCTTGAATGCTGATACATCAGTTACACGGACAGGCTGTAAAAAATATATTAAACAAACAATAAAATTTCTTCACCTTTACACATAAAAAACTTAAATGAAGAAAAAATAATCAAGGTGATCACAGGTAAGATAGTTGAAAATTGGATTTTTATGTTATACAACATAATTACACTTTCTATAATCTTAAGTTGGTGAGAAACGGTATGACATCTGTTGGTGGTAATGGTTACTTGGAATTCATCCCAAGATAACTGCCAAGATATGTATATAGAAAAGATGTTTTTACTGTAAAACACTTAAATTTTACTGTATCATTTATTATTTCGATCATTTCATATATTAGCTGTTGCTGTATGTTTTGATGACGATCTGTACCTGTTATATCAAACACTTTTTAATCTGGTGTCTTAACCATAAGATTTAATAAATGTAATAAGATACAATTAAACTACATGATAGGCAGGCAAAGAAAATATGACATTAGGAAACTTGTCCAAATCTGCTAAATTTGCCATTCCCAACAGTTAATTTGCTTTATTTAGAAGAACAAGAACGGTATTTTAAATTACCTGTGGCAAATCAGGGGCAGATGTAATATCTGTTCCTATTTTGGAGTCAGGTGTTATCTCCTCTTGAGAATCCGAGCTCTCCAATGTTGAAACAACATGAATTGCCAGTTTTTGACGTTTGCATGCATCAAAAGCAACATGTTCCTGTAAAACAGATTGACCAGATTTTAATGTCATATTTCTGTACTATACATACTTCCAGAATACAACCCCTTATCTTAAAATCTTATTCAATATGACAGATATTGCATGTATGAGAGATCAGGAGACTTCATGTCACTTTTTCACAAATATAAGTAGATGTGTATGTTGATAAAATGTTTTTTTTGTTTTTTTTTGTTTTTATTTAAATTTTAGACAATGCTGATTTACCTATAGGTTTAGCTGTATTTAAACCTTACCTGAAGGTTTACCTGTATGTGTACCTTACCTGTATTTAAACCTTGCCTGTAGGTTTTCCTGTATGTGTACCTTACCTGTAGGTTTACCTGTATTGGAGCCTTACCTGTATGTGTACCTTACATGTATGTGTACCTCACCTGTATGTTTATCTTACCTGTATGTGTACCTTACCCGTATGTGTACCTTACTTGTATGTGTACATTACCTGTATGTGCATCTTACCTGTATGTGTTCCTTATACCTTACCTGTATGTGTACCTTACCTGTATGTGTACCTTACCTGCATGTGTACCTTACCTGTATGTGTATCTTACCTGTATGTGTACCTTACTCCTGTATGTGTATCTTACCCCTGTATGTGTACCTTACCTGTAGGTGTATCTTTTACCTGTATGTGTACCTTACCTGTATGTGTACCTTACCTGTATATGTACCTTACCTTATCTGTATGTGTACCTTACCTGTATGTGTACCTTACCCCTTTATGTGTACATTACCTGTATGTGTACCTTATACCTTACATGTATGTGTACCTTACCTGAATGTGTACCTTATCTGTATGTGTACTTGACATGTATGTGTACCTTACCTGAATGTGTATCTTACCTGTATGTGTACCTTATCTGTATGTGTACCTTACCTGAATGTGTACCTTACCTGTATGTGTACTTGACCTGTTGTGTACCTTACCTGCATGTGTACTTGACCTGTTGTGTACCTTACATGCATGTGTACTTGACCTGTTGTGTACCTTACCTGCATGTGTACCTTACCCCTGTATGTGTACTTTACCCTTGTATGTGTACCTTACATGTATGTGTACCATACCTGCATGTGTACCTTACCTGTATGTGTATCTTACCTGTATGTGTACCTTACCCCTGTACGTGTACCTTACCTCTGTATTTGTATCTTACCTATGTGTACCTTACCTATAGGTGTTTCTTAACTGTATGTGTACCTTAACAATATGTGTACCTTACCTGTATGTGTACCTCACCTGTATGTGTACCTTACATATATGTGTACCTTACCTGTATGCATACCTTACCTGTATGTGTACCTTACATGTATGTGTACCTTACCTGTATGCATACCTTACCTGTATGTGTACCTTACATGCATGTATACCTTACTTGTATGTGTACCTTACCTGTATGTGTACCCTACCTGTATGCATACCTTACCTGTATGTGTACCTTACATGTATGCATACCTTACCTGTATGTGTACCTTACCCCTGTATGTGTACCGTACCTGTATGTGTACCTTACCTCTGTATGTGTACCTTACCCCTGTATGTGTACCTTACCTGTATGTGTACCTTACCTGTATTTAAACCTTACCTATAGGTTTAGCTGTATTTAAACCTTACCTGAAGGTTTACCTGTATGTGTACCTTACCTGTATTTAAACCTTGCCTGTAGGTTTTCCTGTATGTGTACCTTACCTGTAGGTTTACCTGTATTGGAGCCTTACCTGTATGTGTACCTTACCTGTATGTGTACCTTACCTGTATGTGTATCTTACCTGTATGTGTACCTTACCTGTAGATTTACCTGTATTGGAACCTTACCTGTAAGTATACCTGTATGTTAACATGCTTACCTTAAAGAACTGGTACAGATCTTTTCTCTCCAATGTCTTCAGAAATGCCACCTCAATGTTGTCTAAGGTCAAAAGGAACAATACTAGTTACATAGTGTTATAAAGTACCTGTTATACACCTCACAAAACTAGCTGAAAGAATTAGATGTTGCCGGTTTTATACATGTAATCATTTTTATGCGGTTAGATGTACTACACAATATTTACAAAATAAGTAATATAAAATATTTTTTACATAGTAAGCAATACAAAGCAGAAGTAAAGCATACTAATTTTACTTACGTTTAGTAATTGACAATATGTTAGGCCTTTGTATAGCACTTATATAAGTAAATTAGTTATATTTCTAGCATCTGAAAATACGAAGGATTTGTGCAATTTAGGAAGATTTGTCCATCACGCAAACATATTACATGTACGAGTACAGTTTTGTATTGATGGAATGGCCCTGGAGATATTTGTTGTAACTAAGTTTGTTGTATCTATGAGCTGTATTAGATTACGATCAATAAAGAATTACAAATAATTATGATTATTCATGGAGAATTTACTCCTCTTACCCTGGTATATCAACAGTTTGATTTCATTGCATTTCTGAGGAATTTGTAATCAATTTAGTTAGAAACCAACAAATTTATTGCAGGAACAAAATTGCATCAGTTTAACTAAGAGAAATTTAAGGGTTTTAAAATCACAGGAAGCAAGAATCAAACCCTGTCCTAAAACACATGACCCTATAGAGCATTAAAATTCTGTAAAGCCCTTACCTCGGTCAAAGTTATAGGTGTGATCTCGGACCTCAAACCAAAAATACTGGTTCTGTTCCCGGATGTTTTTGGGTTTGTCCAGACGTTTGACAGTCATAGCAGCAACGTGTTTCTGGAATTCTTCCTCCGTCATCATCTTTAACTGCTCCTATAAAACAACAAATCTCTACTTGATGTCCATTGCTGAATAAAAATATGATTTATCAATGCCACAAAATGTGAGGGATATATATACTGACACACTAATGCTGTAAAACTCAAAATGTTTGCTGCAGTTTAATTTTTGCCCTTTTTCGCCTTCCGTAATGAGGGCCAATTGATCATTACACCCAAACATTTGTACACAACACAATAAACATAGTAATCAAATGTGAAGGGCAAATTGAATATTGGGTGAAAATCCATTTTACTGTCGAAGGTCGAAAATGTAACTGGGCAAAACATTCCCGGAATACGGTACATGTATTGATATAATTTACGTTCATATTGGATAGGAATATCTCAATTGATCTTTCATCATACTGAGACTGAAACACCTCAATTAATCCCCCAAAAAGACTGAGAATGTTAGCAGTAACAATTTACATTGCTAACGTCCATGGCGGGCACGAAAACTTCTATTCATCTTTAAACAATACAGGAAATGTCCATGTCGATATTACTAAATCTTACATCCATAGCGGACAGGAAGGCTTCTATCCGACCCTCGACATACTGAGGGGATCTGTGAGACTGTACGAGGATACGGTAACCTTGGACGCCACTGCTGCGCAACGGTCCGCTCCGTACAATGTAACCTGGGAAACACATACAAATCAATTAATAAAGAAAATCTTTTACATAGTAAAATGAACAAATGTCACTCTAAGTCCCAATGTTTCGGCCTCCTGGCCTTATCCAAGGCGACAGTCAACGTTTCTTCAAGTAATGCCCATCTTTCTTTGGAGGTAAAGGAAAACCTTTTACATGATGTTTTTTAACAGCAAGAAAAAAATGACATTTCTTCATTAAATGTACCACACATTTATTATAGCTGAATGTCTTATTTTTCTAATCAGAAACTGAACATCTGATTCATTGTTCAGAATACTTGATATATCATGTTTAAGATAATTTGACTACTGGATGTACAGTTAAAATGGCTTGATTACCCTTTAACATTTGTAACAGAAATATTTCCACAAAACACAAGCTGGAGAATTGAACTACAATTTTTACAGATGTAGTGACAGTCTTGCCTGAAGACTAAGATAATCTACAATATACAGGAGTAAGTTCTAACAGAAGGAGTAGAATTTGGCTTAAAAGCCCAAACCTACTTAACTACATAATCTGAATTCTCATCAATCAGATTCATCAGTTTGTAAATATGTAATATCAAAGTTTTACTTTATATACAAACAATGTACGTATTAAACGTGTCGCAACGTTTCAAGACTGACTGGTCCCTTTGTCCAGCTATGACTGAGCGAGCGATTTGTATTGTTTATATGTACAACGATGTGATGAAATTGTGTATTTCTGATTATGTTATAATTACTTGACCCGGGACTTTTCGCCTATCAATAGAAAGTGTATACACACTGTATCAAATACTAATTAATTAATTACATAATGACCAATTTGTTTCGCCCATATAATGAGGGTTAAAATTATATAAAAAATGTAACTGTTTAGTGAAAAAGAATCTATATCCCTGCTATAATGTGATATAATCTCATTAAGGAATATGAAATTGATTTAATTCCATTGTGATCACACAATTGCAACCAAAGAGGATAATATATCCTACATCTCCACATACATGCAACGGCTGCCTTTTAGATATGCTGTCGTACACCTACACCTCCAGGTGTGAGAGACATATATACAGTATACAGGGAAATGTTTGCCCTTCGACTGTAAAATCCATTTTCATCAAATATTAATTAAGCCATTTACATTTGATTACAATATATATAGTGTTTACAAATGCTCACTATATATAATGAGGATTTGGGCCTCATTACAGAGGCGAAAAATCGAACTGCTCTGAAAATTTCACAGAATACAGAAGTTACCTAGTTGTTCCTTTGTCCTGAGAGTGGTGAAGCAGGACTCTTTGAGAGACTGAGACAGCAACTCCAGTAAGACATTGGAGGCTGTGTCTTCGGGCCCGCACTGGAGGTACACCTGGGTACACGTACTCTTGTGGACATCGTTAGTACACTCATACATGAAGGAGCTACCTGTATAACATAAAGGGCACGGAATATCTTACCAATCAGAATAGCTTACCAATCAGAATAGAATAGCTTACCAATCAGAATAGCTTACCAAAAGAATAGCTTACCAAAAGAATAGCTTACCAATCAGAATAGCTTACTAATCAGAATAGCTTACCAATCAGAATAGCTTACCAATCAGAAAAGCTTACCGAAAGAGTGTTTTAATTACCTATAGACTACAGTATCTTACTAATACAAAATGTCTTATCGATTCAGAATCAGATTGTTTCTAATATGTAGCTTTGTGTTAACAATAGTTCTGTAATTATGTCATTTCATTATTTGAAATTTTAACAATGGTATTGATTTAATTTAACACCAAAACCAGTTAAAATGTTTGTACCCTGTGGTAACTGATGTTCCCGGAGCCTCCTCCTCTGGCTGGCCTGGAGTGGACGTGTCCCGCTCTGAGACTGGAGCACCTTCTCCACCATCTCTGTCATGGTCAGCACACCCTGTGGCCAGGTAACATAGTGTCAGCCAATTATACAACTGCTTATCAATCACATAAAATGTTAGCCAATTGTATCGAGCATCAGCTAATCACATCCAATCACAGTGTGGTGATCTTCGCTGTGACAGTCAATTACAATTTACCGGTAATGTTACCTGGGTAGTTATAAACAACAGTAACAATTTACCTTGGTTGTGACATACAGTGGTAACAATTTACCTGGGTAGTGACATAGAACAGCAATAATTTACCTTGGTTGTGACATAGAACAGTAATAATTTACCTGGGTTGTGAAATACAATATGGTAACAATTTACCTGGGCTGTGACATAAACAGTAATAATTTACCTGTGTTGTGACATAGAACAGTAATAATTTACCTGGGTTGTGACATAGAACAGTTATAATTTACCTGAGATGTGACATAGAACAGTTATAATTTACCTGAGTTGTGACAAACAACAGTAATAATTTACCTGTGTTGTGACAAAGAACAGTAATGATTTACCTGTGTTGTGAAATACAATATGGTAACAATTTACCTGGGCTGTGACATAAACAGTAATAATTTACCTGTGTTGCGGCAAAGAACAGTAATGATTTACCTGAGTTGTGACATAAACAGTAATAATTTACCTGAGTTGTGACATAGAACAGTAATAACTTACCTGAGTTGTGACATTGCCTGTGACAAGTCCCTCTATATAAAGTGTCTTCAGCATCTTGGGGACAAAATCTTCTACCATCTTTATGGTTGCCCCTGTAATAGATACATTGTACATAACACTTACTACGGTCATGCACATACCTCAGACTTTTACAGCTAAGTCTGTTATTCTATTTGGCTAATTTGTTATTGCTACATGTATTACTAATAATCTGCTTCTGCCCTAAATAGAAGGAATTAATGGTTTTAATACATTAAATATCTTAAAAATTTCAATAGTGATGATTAAAGCTGCTAAAATGTTGTTGTGAAATTTTGTGAAAATTCCATTTAAAATCCATTGAAATTACATCAAGAGTACCGCAGGGCGGAACAATATACGCTCTTCGAATGTCATATAGTGTTATATACTTTCTTACATTGAAATAAGATCTGCATCTTTCTAAGAGTGGTTAGCTGACATGCTATAAAAAATGCAGGAGAAAAACTCCGGACAAAAAATCAAATACTGAAATAAACAAAGGGCAATAACTTTTGCAAAAATTATCGAATCAAAATTCTTTTGAGGGAGAGACAACTTCATATCATGATTATGATGTATACTAAGTTTCAAAGAGATCCTTGGAAAAATGTAGCAGAAGATTGCCGGACAAAAATCAAATACTGAAATAAACAAAGGGCAATAACTTTTGGATTTTTTTTTTAATCAAAATTCTTTTAATGGATACACAACTTCATACCATGATCATGATGTATACCAAGTTTGAAAGAGATCGGTCGAAAAATGTAGGAGGAGCCGGACAAACAAAAGTTTACGCCGGCCGGACAACCCCATACCATAATACTCACTTCAAATTTGATGGGCATATACAAATCATTAAACAACCATTATTTTTCTACATCTTTTTTTCAATGGATACAATTACTTCACTTTTATTTTTCATTAAATTTTAGTAATTAACAGCACAAATACATTTATACAATTAATATGTTTTCATTTGATACTGAAGGAATTTAATGACCATTTCATATTTAAAGCAAAGTTAGTTTCATTGCCATTAAAATAAAGTAATGGCCAATGATCTTCACTTGATGTTAATGACACCATTCAATATGGTACTTTTACTCACCATGATCTCTCCAGTGGTAACTTTTAATGCCCATTATATAAATCTCATGGCCAAATGTGAAAAAGTATATCATATTTAATAGGTTATTCGAATAACTTTAATGGCCATTACAAATTTGTAACACTAATTAATCATGAGTCATAAATATGTCATTAATTTGGTCTAAATATGTATGGTCTTCTTTCACAGCTACATGCGACTAGATCACTGAAATAATTTTTAATAATAAAGGATCCCCCCCCCCCCCCCCCCCAAAAAAAAAAAAAAGCTTTTACAGATTAACTTTTGCATGCCTTGGGAGGTGTATGCACTATTTATTCATTCCCAAACCTTGTAAGGCCTGTAGTTTCTCCTCGTGTGTCCACTGTACCTCGGACATGAGCTCTGAAGTGTAGGCAGACACTTGACTACTGGGCTGATCTGCTCTGAAGTTCTTCAAAATCCTCTCAAACTAAAATCAATTATACAGTCAATTTGATTTACGGGAAACTAAGAGCCAAGACATGATTTCATTGGCTAGTATTTTAATGATGATGTCCCATAACAATGCTTTGTGTCTGCCATATTACCTTGTAATTTCATGATTTATGGCAACTGTTTCCCTAATTGGAAATAGGAATGGTTGTATTTCCAAGAGCAAGATATAATTTTCCAGATAACATAGGAATGTTATCAGGAAAAATGTCCTCCAGACATCATCATACATGTACATGATAATTTGACTTTCAAAGTGTAAAGAAAGGTATTTAGTAAACCTGTGTCTTGATACAATTTGAAATACTTATACCTATTAACTGACTCAATTTCAATAAAAATGCATAAATGCCTCATTTGGGAACCTCTACCCAATTTTTATTACAGTACATGTTGTAACTAATATACATATATCATCACCTATATTCTTAACTAGAATTATCCTGTATTCATGCACAGAAACCTGATGGTCCTGGTACAGCTAACAATTGCGTTTAGGTATTTTTAATTCATTACAAGAAACAAAATCATAGGACTTGAAAAATACCAAGAATCACTGGGAACCTATGTATCTTTTGAAAAATTCGTACTTTAGCTATTTTGGATGAAAGATGGTAATCAAATAGAGATTTTTTTTATTAGGCAGTGTCAAGAAATTGTTCCGAAAACTGGATGAGTCTTATCTTAAATATGTACTCCCGTAAATTATTTGCTGAAATTTGTATCCAGTAGTTTTCTAGATGAAAGGAAGCAAGACTTAAAGCAAAACACTGATCACTACGAAACGAGCACAGTATTACTGAGACAAAGAGTTACCTTCTCCTTGATGATGTAAAACTGGTCTGGGTCTACAGAGAACTGGGTGAGTTTGTCCAAGATCTTCTTAAGGAGGACGGGCTGTTTGTCACTGTAACCACTGATAGACAACTGAAAATAAAACAAGCAACAGGTACATCGCAAACATTTGTGTTACAAGTGTGGGGGATCACAGTTCAACTTTGACGTCACTTAGTCTGTCCCCCATTTTGTTGATAACCTTCGGTGTCAAATAGACGCTTTAAGTAAACATGTATTTATAGGATTTTATGTAAACGTTTCAACGGCACTGTAAAGTCATAGGTGGCGTTAAGTTCGTCTTGGAGCAGACTATAAAGGCCGTCAGCTAACTTCAGCAGCCCATAGAAGGGCAGTGAGGACTACAGAAAGGACGTGTTCCCGTAGACCGCAGTAGCTGCGACAGCCTGTCCGCATCTAAAGAGCTGTACGACCTTAGAGCGTGACCTGGATGGGCAGGACATTTGAATCTCCGAGGGCCCAGTAAGCTGGCGCTTACCCCCTCAAGTCGACCGAACATAGACTTTATCAGTGAAGTGTAGACTATAAACCATTCAACCAACCAACCAACCTATAGCAGCCCACTTGTTCGATCGTCGGCAGAGAGAGAAACACTTGTGATATAAATATACAAGTATTGATACAGACATGCCTGAACAAGACTTCCCTGTCTCTTACTGCAAAGGTATAGAGATAATTTACTGAGGAGTAAGTACGGAGGTAGATGTGCCTGAACAAGGCTTCCCTTCTCTGCTACGGTTACTCTATGTGATCGGTACATCACATGATTGTGAAATATACCTTGGATCTGCCCTATGATTGAGAGAAAGTGTATGGGAGCACTTGACATGTACTAGCTAGAGAGTACTCAGTAGTTACTTTGAGAGGCTTGGTTTAGCGGATTGTCAGAGTGAATGCTTGTATATTTAATTCCCGCATTATAGGTAGTGAGTACTCGGTTATTAGCTCACCTGCCCGAAGGGCAAGTGAGCTTATGTCATGGTGCGGCGTCCGTCGTCTGTCCGTCAACTTTTCCTTTAAACAACTTCTTTTGAAGAATGGACAGGCCTAGAGTCATGATATTTGGCTGAAAGCTTTGTTGGTAGGAGCCCAACAAAGTTTGAGAACTAAAATGACCTTGACCTACTTTCAAGGTCACAGGAGTCAAATATGCGAAAAACTTCATACGACCTCTTCTGAAGAATTAAAAGGTATAGAATCTTCATATTTGGCTGATGGCTTTCTGGGATAGAGCCCAACAAAGTTTGAGAATGAAAATTAGTTTGACCTACTTTCAAGGTCACAGGGGTCAAATATGTCAAATGCTTCGAGCGCCTTCTTCTGAAGAACTGAACGGTACAGAAACTTTTTATTTGATTGATGGCTTCTTGGGATAGAGCCCGACAAAGTTTGAAAACGAAAATGACCTTGACTTACTTTCAAGGTCACAGGAGTTGGATATGTCTAATGCTTAAAACCACTTCTTCTGAAGAACTGAAAGTTATTGAACCTGAATATTTGGCTGGTGACTTCCTGGAAAAGAGCCCAACAAAGTTTGAGAATGAAAATGACCTTGAACTTCTTTTAAGGTCACCGGATTCAGATATGTCTCATGCTTAAAAAGACTTCTTCTGAAGAACTGAAAGTTATAGAACCTAAATATTTGGCTGGTGACTTTCTGGGTTAGAGGCCAACAAAGTTTGTGAATGAAAATGACCATGACCTACTTTTAAGGTCACATGAGGCAGATATGTCAAACACTTCAAACAACTTTTTTTTCTGAAGAACTGTAAGGTATAAAACCTTAATATTTAGCTTGAAGCATCCTAGGAAAGAGCCCAACAAAGTTTGAGAATGAATATGACCTTGAACTACTTTCAAGGTCACAGGAGTCAGATATGTCTAACGCTTAGAACAACTTCTTCTGAAGAACTGGAAGGTATCTAATCTTTATATTTGGCTGGTGGCTTCCTGGGAGAGAGCCTGACAAAGTTTGAAAACGAAAATGACCTTGACTTACTTTCAAGGTCACAGCGATCAAATATGTCAAACTGTTCAAACTACTTCTGATGAAGAATTAAAAGGCATAAATTTATAATATTTGGCTGGTGACTTCCTGGGATAGAGCTCACCAAAGTTTGCGAACGAAAATGACCTCAACCTACTTTAGAGGTCCCAGAGGTCAACAACATTTTAAAGGATTTGTTCTTAAGAACTAAAAGAAATGGATTCATTAGATTTGGCTGGTTGCTTTTTGGAATAGAGCTTACCAATTTGAGAAGGAAAATGGCATTGACCTACTTACAAGGTCACAGGAAAAAATATGTCAAGCAACTTCTGAAGAAGAATAAAAAAGCATAGAATCTTGTAAAATATTTATCTGGTAGTTTCAACAGATGGAGCCAACAAAGTTTGCGAGGGAAATACTTTTAGTGCAATATAATATTTAATGAGAATATTTTGCTATGACTGCTTAAACATTCAGGTGAGCTATACAGGCCCTCTTGGGCCTCTTGTTTAATTCATACCTTAGGCAGTGAGTGCTCGCTGTATGTTACTCATTACTCAGAGGGACTGAGTGTTTGTATAAGTTTTATTGATTAATTCATTTGAAAATGAACCCAATTAAGCCAGTTACTTTATTTGTACATATTTGCACTGAGTATAGGGATCTTCAGTGGAAGTGACTGATACGAACCCCCTGTAAACATCACACATGCTTAAGGTAGCAACACAAACATGGGTAAACAGGGTGTGTTCTAAACACTTCCGAGTTTCTGGAATTCCTCGAGACATCTCAGACATCGAGGTAATTGAAGGGGCTCTTTACAATAGATAATTAATTTAGTTTAGTTCGGGTGCTCAAGTACCTTTAAGGAATATTTCAAAAGGATAGCTATATATTTTTTTACATCATATGCAAGGTATATGATGTATTTTTAGAACAGTGTTTTAAAATCTTCAATGACACAGTTTTGGAGATTAATTGATACTTGCATTTTGCTCTTAAGCTACGAATCATAAGTGATCAAAAAAAATACTATAGTATGAAATACAAGTTTTAGTTTGTTTTCATTGAAAACAGATTCTTTTTTTCATGAATTCTAAAATATAATAAAACAAAGATTATATAAGAAGAAGTCAATTTTAACTAGTTCTAAAAATCAAATCTACAACTGGAGGGAGAGCAAAATAGAGGCTTTTAATTTGAATAGACTGGTTATGACGTACTGTAATGCCATATTTGGTAGCAGATAGGTCGTAGTGAAGCCCTGCCAGCCCAGCATTGTAGGAATACTCATTGAGTGCATCTTTAAACAGCATCACAAACAGCTTGGTCAGAACATGGTTGGTGGGTGTAAGATATGTCAAGGGGCTAAAAAAAAGAATGATTAACATGAATTATGTAAAACAATTTACCAAACTAAATGTCTAATTTCTTCATCTTTCTTTACTCTGAATACTTAAGGTGATGAGTCAAGTGTATTCTTATGGTTAAACAATATGTTGAAAATAACAGACTCGCACAACTCAATCAGCCAGTGTATCATACATTTGTAGTTCCTTTCTAAAATTAGATCCGGTTAATTACTGAGTCACTGAGTAATTTCAATGAGGAACTGATGACAAATATTTTAATAAATAAAATCTACGGGCGTTTAACTTTTGAAAAATGTATACTTTTGATATATTTAATTATCAGTGTGCAAATTTGCAGTCACAATATGTCTTGGTTGTTTTCGTTTTGAGTCACCAGTTCTGCTTGTAAACTTTGTGACACTTTGTGCCATTAAACCTGCCAAAAAAGTAATTTTGTAGCCTTTGTAAGGCCTGTATCCATGAATCGAGACAGTTGTCACTGGTGCTGAACTTCAAATATTAATGTTATTAGCTATAAAATTGTTTAGTAATAGCATATAGTAAACAAGAGGCCCAGAGGGCCTGTATCGCTCACCTGGATACCTTAGCAATCATGGCAAAATATTCTCCAAATGAGATAAAGGGAATATGCCAGACCCCAAGGCAAATCCTTGTAGCATAACTGTATTAGATTTTGTCATGCCCAGCAATTTTATGTATGGTTATGGGGTGGGGATCTCAACTGTTTCCAAGCTTTGACTCAAAAACTAGGTCCCTAGGGTTGTGGCCAGACCGCAGGATCAATTCTAATATCGTGACTGCATTTGTCTCTTTTAGCCCAGCATTTGTATATATAGTTTTGGGGTGGGGATCTCAACTGTTTCAAAGTTATGACCCGGAGGTTAAGTCTGCAAAGGTGGGGCAGACCCTGGGGTCAATTCTAATATCATGACTGCATTCGGCTCTTTATGCCCAACAATTGTATATATAGTTTTGGGGTAGGGATCTTTAACCATTTCGAAGTTATGACCCTGGGTTAAGTCTCCAAGTGTGGGGCAGTCCCTAAGGCCATCCTGGAAGCATATGTGCAATCATCTTTTTATACTCAGCAATTTATACGGTTTTAGGGTGGGGCTCTCAGCTGTTTTAAAGCTGTGACTAAGAAACTAGGTCCCTAGGGGTTCAGTCAGACCCCAGGGTCTATTCTGATATCCTGACTGCATTCGTCTCTTTATGCCCAGCATTTGTATATATATAGTTTTGGGGTGGGGATCTCAACAGTTTTGAAGTTATGGCCCAGGGACTATGTCTCCAAGGGCGGGGCCAGACCCTAGTGCCATCCTGGAATCAAATGAGCAATCTTCTCTTTATACTCAGCAATTGTATACCATGGTTATATGGTGGGGATCTCAAATATTTCCAAGTAATACACTTTTTTGGCCCCACCCCTTAGCCGGGGGGGGTCAGCCCCACCATTCGTACAATTTTGAATCCCTGCCTCCCATGAATGTTTCTGACCAAATATGATCAATATCCATGGCATAGTTCTACAGAAGAGGTCGCTTAAAGCAATAGCCAAATAACCCCTTTTGGCCCTGCCCCTCAGCCCCCTGGATGGTCAGCCCAATTATTTATATAATTTTGAATCTACACCACCTAGGGATGTTTCCAGTCAGATATGGTTGATATCCATCGCTTAGTTCCAGAGAAAAAGTCGCTTAAAGCAGTATAGCCAAATTGCCCCCTTTTGGCCCCGCCCTTAAGCCCCCTGGGGGTTCAGCCCCATCATTTGTACAATTTTGAATCCCCACCACCTAGGGATGCTTCCAGTCAAATATGGTTGATATCCACTTCTTAGTTCTAGAGAAGAAGTCATTTAAAGCTATATAGCAAAATTGACCCCTTTTGGCCCCGCCCTTAAGCCCCCTGGGGGGTCTGCCCAATTATTTGTACAATTTTGAATCCCCACCACCTTATGATGCTTCCAGTCAAATATGGTTGATATCCATCTCTTAGTTCCAGAGAAGAAGTCGCTTAAAGCAGTATAGCCAAATTGCCCCCTTTTTGCCCCGCCCCTCAGCCCCCTGGTGGGTCAGCCCCATCATTTGTACAATTTTGAATCCCCACCACCTCGGGATGCTTCCAGTCAAATTTAGTTAAATTCCAATCAGTGGTTAAGAAGAAGTCGTCGTTAAAAGAATGACGTACGTACGTACGGCGGACAGACGACGTACGCAACGGACCAGGTGAGCTAATAAATGATTTAGTTGTGAAAGTAGGTAAAACAGAAAATGATAAGAAAATTTTCCAACAATAATACAGATCCTAGAAGCAAACCATTTTGAAACAAGTAGGAACAGCTGTCGAACTCTCACACAGTGTCAGGTAAATTACTTTAATTTTGATATATCACATGCACAGAACAGCTATGATTCACACACTTACCTGTGTGACCTGTTGGGTTAGTCTGAAACTGATTATAATTGGTTTGTCAGTTAATATATTACTATATCAACACTTTTCTTTTGTCTCCAAATAGTGCTGGAAATGAGAACAGCCCATAAATAGGTTACGCGAGGATATCCTGAATACTTACTTGTTTAACTCAAATTTAATGGAGGCTTTCGGTTGGAGGAATGTGTTGTCCTGATGGAACCACACTCGACACAAGTCACTGTCCTGGAGATTATACAAAAAAGTAACTTCAATATATAGAGTGTTTCATTTTCAATCTTTAACAATAGAACATGTACACATCTAAGTTGTAGTCTTTAATACAAAGTATATCCATGTACTAGGGGGAGACAACTGAAGGAATCTAACTGTCAGTTGTAGTCTTTACTACAAAGTATATCCATGTACTAGGGGGAGACAACTGGAGGAGTCTGACTGTCAGTTGTAGTCTTTTAGGGGGAGACAACTGAAGGATTCTTACTGTCAGTGGTAGTTTTTAATACAAGGTTATCCATGTAATAGGGGGAGACAACTGGAGGATTCTTACTGTCAGTGGTAGTCTTTAATACAAAGTATATCCATGTACTAGGGGAAACAACTGATAGGATTCTGATCTTTACTACAAAGTAAAGCCATCTACTAGGGGGAGACAACTGGAGGATTCTTCCTGTCAGTGGTAGTTTTAATGATGGGATAAAATCTTTAAAATATTAAAATTAAAACTTATCTAAATCACCATAAATTAAGGCAGTGTTGAAACATTTTTTTATAAGAAACTGGTAAAATTGAGGGTCAATTGTAAATCATCTACAAATTGTTACCATAAGACATACCTTCACAAGTTGTGGCAGATCACAGGGCTGAAATGAAAAACGAAACAATAATCTTAAACTTGTGTCTTTGTTAGAACTTTGAATTCTATAAAAGTACACGAAATAAAAATTATGTATCATAATATTTATCCAGAAAGACTAAGCAATAAGCCTACTCATGTCAAATACAGTTCAGTGCTTTTTCATTGTCCTATAATGTAGATTTTATGTGTTATCCTCCTAGATATATTTCAGGCTAAATACAATGCATATATAACAGCAAATTTCTCCGTAGTTAAGCTTTCAATCTGTTCACCTTCTGTAATAAGAATATTTGTCATGACTTTGATTGTAATTACACTGCGAGGGCAAAAATGAGCCCTGGGCCGATTCTAATTTTACCATGGAAGGATGGATATTTAGTCTTTTTTGTTTTTGTTTTGTTTGATGGTCTATTAACAGCTATGGTCAATTAATGACATGCCAGGTTTGGTGGTTGAAGAAAGCTGGAGTTTCCGAAGAAATACCACCAAGTTTCAGCTTGTACCTACCGACTGCTCCACGCAGACCTTGAACACCTGCGACCCAGTGGTGGAGGGTTAGTGATCATAGACGATCAGAGACCTTAACCCCTCGGCCACCGTGGTAGATATTTAACACAGTGAAATGTTGATAAAAAGTATTTCAATGTCATCGGATGACCACTGATATTATAATTACATCAGTATATATAAGATACAAGAGGCCCAATGGGCCTGAATCGCTCACCTGGTATTAATCTCACACTTGTAATCTTAAAAGTGGACTAATATACATGATATGATGCCTTTGACCTCAAAAGTTTATAGCCTTCCGTCCCAGCATACTTCTAGCTAAATATTATTACCCTGGACCTTTTGAATATTCAGAACAAGTCATTTAAATATTTAAACATATTTGATCCCTGTGACCTTGAATATGAGCAAAGGTCATTCATTTGAGCAAACTTGGTACCCCTTCATCCCAGCATGTTACTGGCCAAATATCATTAGCCTATGCCTCTTGGATATTCAGGAGAAGTTGTTTAAAGGTTTTAGACATATTTGACCCCTGTGACCTTGAAAATGGATAAAGGTCGTTTATTTGAACAAACTTGGTAGCCCTTCATCTGAGCATGATACTGCTCAAATATCATTGTTCTATGTCTCTTGGGTATTCAGGAAAAGTTGTGTAAAGGTTTTAAACATATTTGACCCCTGTGACCTTGAATATAAATAAAGGTCATTTGATTGAACAAACTTGGTAGCCCTTTATCCCAGCATGTTACTGGACAAATATCATTATCCTAGGCTTCTTGGTTTTTCAGAAGAAGTTGTTTAAAGGTTTTAAACATATTTGACCCTGTGACCTAGAATATAGGTAAAGGTCATTCATTTGAACAAAACTAAGTAGCCCTTCATCCCAACATGTTACTAGCAAAATATCATTATCCTATGCCTCTTGGGTATTCAGAAAAGGAGTTGTTTAAAGATTTTATATATATTTAACCCCTGTGACCTTGAAAAAGGGTCAAGGTCACTTGTTTGAACAAACTTGGTAGCCCTTCATCCATGCATACTACAGGCCAAATATCAGTATTCTGAGCTTTTTGGTTACTGAGAGGAAGTTGTTTGAAGATTTTAACACATTTGACCCCAGTGACCTTCAGTGGGTGAAGGTCATTCATTTGACCAAACTTGGTAGCCCTTCATAACAGCATGCTACAGGCCAAATAGCAGTAACCTGGGCCCTTTGGGTTTTGAGAAGAAGTTGTTTGAAGATGTTTAACACATTTGACCCCTGTGACCTTGAAAGTGGGTCAAGGTCATTCATTTGAAGAAACTTGGTAGCCCTTCATCCCAAATAATTACTAACCAAATATAAATATCCAAGGCCTCTTGGTTATTCAGAAGTTGTGTAAAGGTTTTAAACATATTTGACCCCTGTGACATTGAATATAAATAAAGGTCATTTGTTTGAAAAAACTTGGTAGCCCTTTATCCCAGCATGTTACTGGACAAATATCATTATACTAGGCTTCTTGGTTATTCAGACGAAGTTGTTGAAAGGTTTTAAACATATTTGACCCCTGTGACCTTGAATATAGCTCAAGGTCATTCATTTGAATAAACTAGTTAAAAGGTTTTAAACATATTTGACCCCTGTGACCTTGAATATAAGTAAAGGTAATTTGTTTGAACAAACTTGGTAGCCCTTTATCCCAGCAAAAAAACTGGCCAAATATCATTATCCTAGGCTTCTTGGTTATTCAGAAGAAGTGGTTTAAAGATTTTTTAAGACAATTGACCCATGTGACCTTGAAAATTGGTGAAGTTCATTTGTTTGAACAAACTTGGTAGCCCTTCATCCCAGCATGCTACTGGCCAAATATCCTCATCCTGTGAATTTTGATTATTCAGAAGAAGTTGTTTAAAGTTTGTAACATATTTGACCCCTGTGACCTTGGAAATAGGTGAAGGTCATTCATTTGAACAAACTTAGTAGCCCTTCATCCCAGTTTGCTTCTCGCCAAATATCATCACCCTAGCTAGGCCTTTCGGTTATTAAGAAGAAGTCGTTGAAAGTAAAATATTGACGCCAGACGGATGGACGGACGACAGAGGCCAGGTGAGCTAATAATGTGTCTATATGTATTGCATACCTGATGCTGCGAGGACAGACTTTAGTATGTAAAATAACATCCCATAATATATATAAACTGTACACATTACACATCTTTCGAAATAGATCAAAGTAATGTCTTTCATCAATGGGAAATTTGACTCTTTTACCTAATTAAAGTTGTACTCACGTTAGCTTCTCTGGGAACAATTTCAAACGATTCTGGGATGAATTCATTGACAGCAGGCAGCTTCAGATTTTCATGAAAACCACAACAGCTCCATGTCTACAAGTCAGGAAACACATGATCAACACAAGACTCTTTACTGTCCTTCTGCATAGACTTTTCATTATGTAATTTATTGTAAATGACAGGGATGAGAGGCACTTAATTTAGTAACATATCAGTGGGAAAAGATTCTTACATTCTAAGTATATACCACATACATCTTATATATATATGTATAGCTTCAATGAATTTCTGTCACCCAGTTGGCATTCATATTGTCTATGAATGCAAACTGAAAGAGGTTCAGCACTTTAATATCTTTTCATATGATGTTTTTTTTTTGTTATCTATGAACAAAAATCCTTTCACTCATTCTATAAAACTAAACTAGCTTCTAGAACTGCCAATTTTTTAAAATATAATTTATGTTTCAAAACCAACAGATCTACTGGTTTATCTTTAAATACTGAACGTTTTACATTAAAGTACATGTTAGGATCAGCATATCATCAAGCTTCATATCAATACATTTAACTGTAGAAAGTTGTATCAACTCTTGCCTGTAATTTCTCTTTGGGAATCTTCTCTAGCCTGTATTTGGTACCATATAACGGTTCTGTCTGGTCGACTATGTCTTCATATTTCTTGGCTACCACACGCATTCTGAAATAAATAGGTTAACAGTTATACCTCTTCATTACTAGCATTATACCTCTACATTACTAGCGTTATACCTCTACACTACTAGCATTATACCTCTACATTACTAGAGTTATACCTCTACATTACTAGCGTTATACCTCTACATTACTAGTGTTATACCTCTACATTACTAGTGTTATACCTCTACACTACTAGTGTTATACCTCTACATTACTAGCGTTATACCTCTACACTACTAGCATATAGATCTACATTACTAGCGTTATACCTCTACATGACTAGTGTTATACCTCTACACTACTAGTGTTATACCTCTACATTACTAGTGTTATACCTCTACACTACTAGCATTATACCTCTACACTACTAGCATTATACCTCTACACTACTAGTGTTCTACCTCTACATTACTAGTGTTATGCCTCTACACTACTAGCATATAGATCTACACTACTAGCGTTATACCTCTACATGACTAGTTTTATACCTCTACACTACTAGTGTTCTACCTCTACATTACTAGTGTTATACCTCTACACTACTAGTGTTCTACCTCTACATTACTAGTGTTATACCTCTACACTACTAGTGCTATACCTCTACATTACTAGCGTTAATTAGCTACATCTACATTACCAGCGTTATACCTCTACATTACTAGTGTTATAACTCTACACTATTAACGTTATACCTCTACATTACTAGCATTATACCTCTACATTACTAGCGTTAATTAGCTACATCTACATTACCAGCGTTATACCTCTACATTACTAGCGTTATACCTCTACATTACTAGTGTAATACCTCTACATTACTAGAGTTAATTAGCTACATCTACATTACCAGCGTTATACCTATACATTACTAGCATTATCCCTCTACACTACTAGCATTATACGTCTACATTACTAGTGTTATAACTCTACACTATTAACGTTATACCTCTACATTCCTAGCGTTATACCTCTACAGTACTAGCATTATACCTCTCCATTACTAGCGTTATACATCTACATTTACATCACTATCCCTCTACATTACCAGCGTCATACCTCTACACTACTAGTGTTATACCTCTACATTACTAGCGTTATACCTCTACATTACCAGCGTTATACCTCTACACTACTAGCATTATACCTCTACACTACTAGCGTTATACCTCTACATTACCAGCTTTATACCTCTACATTACTAGCGTTATACCTCTACATTACTAGCATTATACCTCTACATTACCAGCGTTATACCTCTACACTACTAGCATTATACCTCTACATTACTAGCATTATTCCTCTACATTACTAGCGTTATACCTCTACATTACTAGCGTTATACCTTTACACTACTAGCATTATACCTCTACATTACCAGCATTATACCTATACATTACTAGCGTTATACCTCTACATTACTAGCATTATACCTCTACACTACTAGCGTTATACCTCTACATTACTAGCGTTATACCTCTATACCTCTTGGAGTCAGTTTTGTTTGATGATATTGTTTTATACAAGAACACATGTATGCTATATATCCGTTGAAGAAATATCCAGAATCGTGTGTTAATATTTTGGTATTCCATTTGTATAAGTAGGTTGTTTCCATGTTTTGCTGTGAACTAGCACTCTTTAATCAAGACAATATTGAACTCTCTGAACTTCTGAAGACACTATCATAATCTGGTTCAAATATTCTGGAAATCATTATTTTCATTTTGAAAGTATCTTTTGTAGATTCTCAAAGCAATGACTAAATAAATGCAAGCATTCACAATTCAAAAATGTGGATGTACATATCGATTGAAAATTGATGTCACCAAAGTGTTTTGTATCCTTGGAAATTACAGTGATCAGGATGCAATTATCAAACGATATTTCCCATGCAGAAACGAGTCTTTCTGACTATTTATTACATACTTACTAATAAATACTGTGTTTTTGTATATGCAATACGACACAACTGCTCTAACCCATATAAGCCCTCGCTGTATCACACCCCAAAATCTGTATCAGCCCCGCCGTATCACACCCCAAAACCCGTATCAGCCCGCAAAACCTGTATCACACCCCTTTTGGAATTTTTTCGTGTTTCAATATTTCAAAATAAAAATAGATCATAAGATAGTAGCTTTTATTAGTAAGTATGTAATAAACAGAATAAAACATGCCTTTTTCCATATCACACCCAGTATCAAACCTCGACCAATATCAGCCCTCGGGCTGATATTGCAGTCTCGGGTTGATCCTGGGTGTGATATGGAAAAAGGCATGTATTATTCTCTATGTAATGCTATGTGAGTACCTCATATTGTGTGGTACAAGTTTTTCCAGTATTTGGGTGATGAGGTCTGGCCGGAACTCGGACATCAGATGCCCACCGCTCAATGCCTCCTCCATTGGGTATATCTGGTATATACACGGTGATCAGTAAAACATTCACATAAACACAACTAGAAAAATCAATCACAACATCACCAGGGTCGCTTAATCACCCTGCATACTTCTGGAATTTAATATCTCAATGACAACAAGAATTCCACGGGAGTGTGGATGTGTCGCCTGCTCATAGCGCTTTTAGTAAAAAAAGTGTTTTGGCTCGAGTTATCGTGTAAACAGATATGCCAAAAAGCAGAAAGTTGAAACTCGACAAAAAAAACTGTAATATAAGTTGAACATTATTGCTTCTAGCATTACGTTATAAAATTTGAAAGGAATTGATTAAAAAAATAAAAAAAGTTCTTGCATTTACTACGCAATGCCCTTATTTGGCAAATAAAGGGGCATGACTTCACCAAAAATGCGCGTAAACTTCTGAAATGCGAACTTTTTCGAGCTATATTGGTATGAAATATGTGAACCAAGTTTGAGTTCAACCAACCAAAGGGAACTCAAGGTATCGCACAGAAACCTTATTTCGGATGACGCAACGGGCGACAAAGTAATACCTTTATGTCGCCTCGCGTTGCAGGCTACACAAAAATGTAATAAATCCCCTTCCTTACTCTTAATTAACAAGGACCTTGAACATGCAGGTATTCACTTATTTGAGTTTGACCCTTCATCTATCTCAGACGAGTGTTAGAATTATCTTACAGAGTACAGTAATATATTTGTACATTGCCACTTGCTTCATTTACCATCCAACACATATAAGCAGCATTTCAAGTTTCCTTTTCCCTCAGAATTCTATTAAAAGCCTCCATGGATAGTTTCCTAAACCTCATTTTAGTCACAAAACTCCAATCAGTGTTACAAATTTTTACTATAATAGCAGGCAACCTCATCTGAATCTTGTTGAAGTAACATTAAACATTTTTTTATATATGAGCATGACTTACCCTCGACTGTTGTTGACTATAACCTTGAACCTTACCTGCATTGCCCTACACACTGATGGTGTATAGTTTCTACTTTCCTCTTTATCCTTGAAGCGAAACTTCATTGCACGAATATTCTGTAAATATCAGAAAAAAACCAGAACACATGTACAGTAAATCCATCTTAAACACAAAGAGAATCATACCAAAATCATTGGTCTATTGAAAAACACATAGATGTAATATGCGCTCATGTATGGTCTACCGTCCAATAATCCATGGTTATTAATCAATGGAAAGTGATGTTACGTTGCAAAAGTCGTGGTATTTAGGATACACTGAAAGATCTTTAAAAGAAATTGTACATATTAGAGGAAAAAAATACCTAAAAGTATCCTACTGTCAATGGGAATATATGTATCATTGCCTCTATGTGTTCATCTTATTGATTTTTAAACTGGGTATAAATCATTTCAATAATGAGATCATTCAGTAATCTAAATTGAGGTATATGATTAGTTTACATCCGTGTCATTCTAACCTGGTACTCCGTGAAAATCCACTCTAGAGGGTCCTGACTCTTCAGCATGGCAATATACTGATACGTAAGCATCACCATATCATCAATGTGTTCTGTGTAAATGAAATTAAAATCATAATATCAGTTCACGGCAGGTTTTTCTTATTGAATACCCTGACAGATTTTTTTTCAAGAAAAGACTGAATAATTTATTTTTTTGTTTTGTTTGTTAAAGTAAACGTTACACTTTTTTATAGTGCCAATACATGTTACAGTAAGACCTCATTATACTGCCGTCATTTGTCTAGAGAAATTTTGACATTATAAAGGGGTTTGGGGATAAATTCAGGGGAAGGTATAAAGGAATTCTTCAGAAAACTAGACAAAAAGACATTGAAAGATGTTGGGAGGTATATGAGATGGCAAATGAAACGAGGGGCATTATTGTAATTATCCATTTCACCATTATGGGCTCATCCAGATAAATGCATGGTAGAGTCTATTAAAGTTACATAGTGGTGAAAGGCTTATTAACCTTCATTGGTAGATATTCATAGTGATCCTTTGGGAGATTCTATGTACATTAATTTGTGGATAACAGGAAGACCCCCCCCCCCCCCCCCCCCCC